TCTTTCCCTTTGTGTTCGTCATTTTGGTTAATTACTGGAAGATGGCGGTTCCGCCTCCCCGGATCAATCTTGACATAGAGTTTGAGGACATGAAGAACATGGTCCTCGATGCCCTCTACGTCAGGGGGCATGTTGCTGTACTGGTGGCACAGCTGTGTCCCTCTCCCTGGAACCTGAGCTAGCGCCAAGAACGACTGTGGAGCCTGGGGCCTTGTCCTGGCTCCCGTGGGGCACAGAGTGGTGCTGAGCGTCCAGACCGTGGCCACCATGGGGACCTGGAACAGTGGTGCCAAGGCCACAGGCAGGCGGCTCGGAAAGGACACGAGCCGCCATGGCTACGCCGACAGAGCGTGCACTGCCTCATCCTAAGTGTAAATATTGTAAGGGGTAGATTTCTAGCATGTTTCACTTGTCAACATTTTGAAACAATGATTTAAAAGGCTATTATATAACTCTTTTGAATTCATGAGTGGAGTCTAAACAGTCTGAGGTAGTCTAGAATGAGGGCTCTGACCAAGGGCGCCATGTCAGACAGTGCTTGACCAACCTGAACATTTCCTCCTCCAGGCGTTCTCTTTAAGTGTATTGCTAGAGGGCACGTGCGCTTGCGAGAGAGAGAGAGAGAGAGAGAGAGAGAGAGAGAGAGAGAGAGGAGAGAGAGAGAGAACCCCAAGGGTACTCTGTAATCCTCCTTCCTCCATTTCTCCATCCCATCAGCACTTCGTGCACACATGCACTCGTGCCTGGCATGTTTCTCAAGCCACCAGGGCTGGGATCCAAGGTGCAGTCGACCAGTTCCTTAAGCAAGATGCTCCACAGCTATGCTGTGGCCACCAACAACCACCCCCACATACATTTTTGTGCCATTTGACTTTGAGTGAAACAGTAGAAAAGACACAGAAAGAAAAGCCGCGAGCAGAAACCATGAAGTAGCAGCCTCCAGGAGAAGGAAGAGATCGGGAAGGAGCAGAGAGAGCTGGGCCAGGCCCACGGGCCAGAGCTGTGCTAAGCGCGGTGTAGAGAGAGCCGGATCCCTCATCACAGGGGCAACCACGGTTCCAGTTCTAGTCCTGGCGGCTCGAAAAATACACCTGACAGGACACGAGCCGCCATGGCTACGCCGACAGAGCGTGCACTGCCTCATCCTAAGTGTAAATATTGTAAGGGGTAGATTTCTAGCATGTTTCACTTGTCAACATTTTGAAACAATGATTTAAAAGGCTATTATATAACTCTTTTGAATTCATGAGTGGAGTCTAAACAGTCTGAGGTAGTCTAGAATGAGGGCTCTGACCAAGGGCGCCATGTCAGACAGTGCTTGACCAACCTGAACATTTCCTCCTCCAGGCGTTCTCTTTAAGTGTATTGCTAGAGGGCACGTGCGCTTGCGAGAGAGAGAGAGAGAGAGAGAGAGAGAGAGAGAGAGAGAGAGGAGAGAGAGAGAGAACCCCAAGGGTACTCTGTAATCCTCCTTCCTCCATTTCTCCATCCCATCAGCACTTCGTGCACACATGCACTCGTGCCTGGCATGTTTCTCAAGCCACCAGGGCTGGGATCCAAGGTGCAGTCGACCAGTTCCTTAAGCAAGATGCTCCACAGCTATGCTGTGGCCACCAACAACCACCCCCACATACATTTTTGTGCCATTTGACTTTGAGTGAAACAGTAGAAAAGACACAGAAAGAAAAGCCGCGAGCAGAAACCATGAAGTAGCAGCCTCCAGGAGAAGGAAGAGATCGGGAAGGAGCAGAGAGAGCTGGGCCAGGCCCACGGGCCAGAGCTGTGCTAAGCGCGGTGTAGAGAGAGCCGGATCCCTCATCACAGGGGCAACCACGGTTCCAGTTCTAGTCCTGGCGGCTCGAAAAATACACTGGGCACACGTGCACACGTGCCCAGGTTACTGATGGGGGAGGGGAACAGAGGATGGCCAGGCCCTGTGAGGGGAGTGTCTCTGCCTCTCTCTGTCTCTCTCTGTCTCTGTCTTATGCACACCCTCTGACGTGGAGAAGGAGAATAGAGAGAGAAGTCGCGAGTAGACGCAGTCAGCAAGATTGGGGCTAGGATAGGGACGAACTGTGAAGATGGTGGAGGAACAGGCCGGAAGCAATGGGTGAGCACCTGTGGGTGA